TCATTTTTATAAAAAGTATGGACACTTTCATAAAATAGGTAAACATATGATGTAATAGGTAGCCCTTATTAATGTAATAGGTATCGTTTATATAATGTAATAGGTAGTGGTTATATTGTAAAGTGTCTATCCTTTTTATAAAAGTGTCCATACTTTTTTCACTGTGAAAACATTAATTTAAGGTTATCTTTTGAGTGAGTTTTAAGATATTAATTTAGTAATTATAGGCGTCTAATGATTTATTTTTTACGTTACGGTATATATTATTATTAAATTAAAAATTCTAATAATATTTTATAAAATATAAAAACAATCAATAATTTTTTGTGCAAATGAAATTATTAAATCAATATTGTAGGTGGAAAACATGAAACACTGTTAAAAAATTGAAACATAATTACATAAGTTTTAAAAAAGTATCGATCCTTTTTATAAAAGTATGGACACTTTCAATATAATAGGTAAACATGATGTAATAGGTAGCCCTTATATAATGTAATAGGTATCGTTTATATAATGTAATAGGTAATGGTTATATTGTAAAGTGTCTATCCTTTTTATAAAAGTGTCCATACTTTTTTCACTGTGGAAAACATTAATTTAAGGTTATCTTTTGAGTGAGTTTTAAGATATTAATTTAGTAATTATAGGCGTCTAATGATTTATTTTTTACGTTACGGTATATATTATTATTAAATTAAAAATTCTAAATAATATTTATAAAATATAAAAACAATCAAATAATTTTTTGTGCAAATGAAATTATTAAATCAATATTGTAGGTGGAAAACATGAAACACTGTTAAAAAAATTGAAACATAATTACATAAGTTTTAAAAAAGTATCGATCCTTTTTATAAAAAGTATGGACACTTTCAATATAATAGGTAAACTATGATGTAATAGGTAGCCCTTATATAATGTAATAGGTATCGTTTATATAATGTAATAGGTAATGGTTATATTGTAAAGTGTCTATCCTTTTTATAAAGTGTCCATACTTTTTTCACTGTGGAAAACATTAATTTAAGGTTATCTTTTGAGTGAGTTTTAAGATATTAATTTAGTAATTATAGGCGTCTAATGATTTATTTTTTACGTTACGGTATATATTATTATTAAATTAAAAATTCTAAATAATATTTATAAAATATAAAAACAATCAAATAATTTTTTGTGCAAATGAAATTATTAAATCAATATTGTAGGTGGAAAACATGAAACACTGTTAAAAAATTGAAACATAAATTACATAAGTTTTAAAAAAAGTATCGATCCTTTTTATAAAAAGTATGGACACTTTCAATATAATAGGTAAACATATGATGTAATAGGTAGCCCTTATAATGTAATAGGTATCGTTTATAAATGTAATAGGTAATGGTTATATTGTAAAGTGTCTATCCTTTTTATAAAAGTGTCCATACTTTTTTCACTGTGGAAAACATTAATTTAAGGTTATCTTTTGAGTGAGTTTTAAGATATTAATTTAGTAATTATAGGCGTCTAATGATTTATTTTTTACGTTACGGTATATATTATTATTAAATTAAAAATTCTAAATAATATTTTATAAAATAAAAAACATCAAATAATTTTTTGTGCAAATGAAATTATTAAATCAATATTGTAGGTGGAAAACATGAAACACTGTTAAAAAAATTGAAACATAAATTACATAAGTTTTAAAAAAAGTATCGATCCTTTTTATAAAAAGTATGGACACTTTCAATATAATATGTAAACATATGATGTAATAGGTAGCCCTTATATAATGTAATAGATATCGTTTATATAATGTAATAGGTATCTATCTCGCATGTGAGTACTTTATTCCAACCATGTGACAAGTGTGATAACTCCATCAACTCACAACTCAGCTTTGAACTCAATCAATATTGTCTTTTAGCTTGATGGTTCATAAAGCATGTTACTTGAACAGTATGAATCAATTATGCAATTTTCATGTTCAATTTAACACTGCATTTCAAATTCATTTCATATGTAATTGGAGTTTGAATTTAAATTTCAATTTGAGTTTGAATTTCAATATATTTCGGCTCCACTATAAATATTAGCCCAAGCCGATATGCATGTTATCATTGATTATTCCTAATTTCCATTGTTTTTTTCCAACGTATAAACGCGAGGGAAATCCCGACCATTTTATTTTTTGGTCAACTTTAAAGCGTCAGAAACGTTTCGGGCGTATGATCTGGGTGGTATACAAGAAATGTAACAAATAGCAACTAAAATCATAAGTTGAGTACCACCCAAATCATAAGTCTGAAATACTTCCGATGCTCATCAAAATCCAAAGCTCATTTGGTGCCAAGCAAAAGGAAATCAAAATCCAAATCTCATATGATGCCAAGCAATAGGTAGTGGTTATATTGTAAAGTGTCTATCCTTTTTATAAAAGTGTCCATACTTTTTTCACTGTGGAAAACATTAATTTAAGGTTATCTTTTGAGTGAGTTTTAAGATATTCATTTAGTAATTATAGGCGTCTAATGATTTATTTTTTACGTTACGGTATATATTATTATTAAATTAAAAATTCTAAATAATATTTTATAAAATATCAAAACAATCAAATAATTTTTTGTGCAAATGAAATTATTAAATCAATATTGTAGGTGGAAAACATGAAACACTGTTAAAGTATCGATCCTTTTTATAAAAAGTATGGACACTTTCAATATAATATAATGTAATAGGTAAATTTGCAATGCTATCGGTATAAATATACTGGTTTACTTATAAAATAGGTAAATATAAGCGCTACCTATTACATTATATAAGCGCTACCTAGTATGTTATTGTACTTTATAATATTTCCGGTTAAATAATATAACATAACCGGTCTAAATTTTAACCGGTCACTTGTTTAACCGGTCACGCCGTATATTAGCCGTTTTTTAGGCGCCGCACCGCAGAACCACCCTAAAATTTTAGGAGGTATGGAATTAGATAATCAATAGATACAAAAAAAAAAGTCTAAAATATAAGAAATTTTGAAAATTCTAAGTGCAGCTCCTCGTTGCATACCTGGCTGTTTCTTACATTATCCATAGAATCTTTAATTTTCCTGTTCGGTATACACACAATTAGGAGGAACTTCTTGTATAACTGTGGATGTTAATGATTTATTCTGGTGGCTGAACTGTTACTATTGCTGCTAAGAATGATAAATGAGTCTAATCGAAAAAATTTAAATTTAAAACATTCTAAGACTTAATTTGATTGAAGTTTGAACTCGAGTTTAATTCAAACTCATACCTGAATTTTTAAGTATATAGAAATTTTATATTGCATATTTTTATAAATAGAATTAACATATAAATATAATTATTAATATTATTACTAATTTAATATAAAAAATTAAAAATTAATATATATTTTTAAGTTATTTGCGAGTATGAGTATCAAGTAACTAACTTCGGCTCGTTAAGAAATTAAATTGAATCTATTTGATTCGAGTGTTAATGAAACTTTGATCAAATCGAATTCGAATAACTTGCTATATTTTTCTGTGTAATTGATAGTTTTGTTTTATAATTTTATTTTGTTGGTTTGGTTGTTCATATTTAAAGAATGCAGGCCAAATCCCTAAATATCCAAAAAGAAAAAATTGTAACTTCAGTGTAAAAGCAATCTCCTTTTTCTAATGAAGTATATTTAAGCATTGGACCTTGCTTTCTGTTTACACCGAAACCGAATTAAATTGATGCCATCTAACCGCAATAAATTTGTTCCATCAATGTTGCCAAAAAAAAAACTTTTAACAGAAATCCAAAAAATCAAGAAAACGAGACATGATGATTGCCATCAAACTGCAATGAATTGATGATGTTGTGTGATCCAAAAGGGAAAGCAATAAAGAAATTGTTAATTAATGTGTGGTGTTAAGCCAATCTGTACCCTAACCTTCATTGTAACATCAACTTAACAACAGCATGCCTAAAACTTGAACCAACCTGTATATAAATAAATATATATATAATTTTAATAATTCAAATATTATAATGCAAATTTAAGGTCTAAATAAAGTGGTCCAAAAGTCTGTTTCATGATTAAATATGCGAGAGTTGGTTCTAACATGCAATCCAAGTAAGGAATAGTTATGCCATATGCATAAACGTCGTCCCTCCATTACGTTGATATTCAAGATATACTCTCTTTCTTTCATCTGAAATAAATTTCGTCTCTGCTTCTATACTCTTTCTGCCCCATTAAATATATCTCTTATTGACTTTTTAAAAGTCAAAATATTTAAACTTTAATAATGATTATTTTAAATATTTTAAATAAATAAATTTTATAAAATATATAGTATTTAAAAATTACTTCATTTAAGGTTTTTAAAATATGTTTTTCATTTTTTATCGATAATAAATTTAACAATGAATCAAAGTTAAAAAAAATTGATAAAAAAAGTCAATAAGGGATAGACAGAGTAATATTCTAGATTCAAATTGATATATGGATTTTTTTTACTAAGTGGAGAGTTATTGCGTTCCAAGGTAAATATCAAAGTTTGAACCTATATAAGATGAAATAATATGAACATCTTTAACCACTCAATCAATTAGTGAATCTCCTATAAAAACTTATTATTAGTCTAATATTATTGGTGATATTTTATGTGATCTTGATAACGTGATCCGATACTAATTATTATATAATTACTTTAATAATATCAATTAATACTATTTAACAAGTAAATTAAATTATATCTCATTTAGATAGAGGATTAATTTTTTATTAGTCTAGAGTTATTATAATGTAATATATGTTTTAAAAAAAATTAACCATTTAACAATAAATGTTCAGAACATTATATAAATATTATGTTCAAATTTAATTTTTTTTAAATATTACAGTCGTCGCTTGAACTAATTAAGTGACTTAATCGAAGTTAGATGCTCAACCTTAAATCTCAGCCAACTAGTGAGACTAAAATTAAAATTAGAATTAAAAAAAAAAACATTGCAAAACTCGAAATAAAATTTTAAAATTTCCATTAAAAAAACTCACCATCTCCTCCAAAATATTCTTAGCCCAGAGGATTGCCAATCCCAATCTCTCTGACTCTCTCACCATATATTCTCTCTCTTCTCTTTTTTCCCCTCAAATTCCATCTCTTTTGAATTAATTAAGAGGAGTGGAATAACCAAAGAAAGATACAAAAGAAACAGAGAGGGAGAGCAGAAGGGAGAAAAAGGATTAAAAAAACAATAAAATGAGCAGAAAAATCTCTTCTGTTTCCATTGTCATCATTTCTCAACTCAGATCTTAATTTGCTTCCCATTTTCTAATCTGGGTCATTTCCAAAATGGTAAAGTTTGCTCTCTATTTTCTTCTTTTGCTTCATATATGTTTGTCTCTGTTTCCTGATCTTTTGTCCTTTGTCTTGATCTACACAATTCAGTCTCAATTTTAAATGGTTTTGATTGGCAGGAATTCTGGGTTGTTTTCTGATTAGTGCATAAAGTTTCTGAGATGATCCTAGATTGGATTTAACAGCTACCCACTTTGTCTTTGGTAGTATATTCTACCTGTAATTCATAACAAAAGGAATGTATTTCATTTTAATTATCGTGTTTGATTGTAGTTATTGTTCGTATTTCATCTGTTATGGTTTTTTTCTGCATAAAGATGGATCCTTTTAGCTGCTGCTGATAGTTGGATAATTCAGGGTTGTCTTTGGTAGTAGATAAGATGGAATCAGATCTTGGTAAACTCTTCATTGGTGGGATATCCTGGGACACCGATGAGGAACGTCTGAAGGATTATTTCGGAAAGTATGGTGAAGTGGTGGAGGCAATGATCATGAGAGATCGTGTCACAGGCCGCGCCCGCGGCTTTGGTTTTGTTGTGTTTGCCGATCCTGCTGTTGCCGGGAGGGTAATTTTGCATAAGCATATGATTGATGGTCGCACGGTGAGAGCCTTGATTATATTTATCCTTCCTGTATTACAGATTTAATTGGTATTGGGATGTTATTTTTGCTTGATTAATTTGATATATGTGATAATCACAGCGAGTTAAATCCGCCATATTGTCTCCTTTATACTGTTTTTGTGGTTTTGACTTAATTATTTGAGACAGAAGTCGAGTTGCAAATGGTCGATTCAAGTTGTTGACTCTTGACTGCTCAATTTTCAGGTTGAGGCAAAGAAGGCTGTTCCTAGGGATGAACAGCTCGTTCTAAACAGGAACATGGTTGGCATCACTGGACCTACTGGTCTTGGTCGAACAAAAAAGATTTTTGTTGGAGGTTTGGCATCTACTGTAACCGAGGTTGACTTTAAGAACTACTTTGATCGGTTTGGTAAAATTGTTGATGTTGTGGTGATGTATGATCATAACACACAAAGGCCGAGAGGGTTCGGCTTCATCACTTATGATTCAGAAGAATCGGTAGACAAAGTCCTGCATAAAACATTTCATGAACTTAATGGGAAATTGGTTGAGGTCAAGAGAGCAGTGCCTAAAGAACTATCTCCCGGTGCCACCAACCGCAACCTTACAATCGGATATAATTATGGTTTGAATAGGGCTTCCAACTTCCTCAATAGTTATGCGCAGGCATATAATCTAAGTCCGGTTGGAGGCATTGGGGTTCGGATGGATGGTAGGTTTAGTTCTCTTGTTGGTGGGCGAAATGGGTTTCCTTCATTTAGTGCCACTGGCTATGGAGTAGGTATGAATATAGAACCGGGAATGAACCCAAACTATGGTGAGAATTCCAACTTTGGCAACAGTCTTGAATACGGGCGGATAATTAGTCCCTATTTCGGTGGGAATTCAAACAGATATAACACTCCGATTGGCTATGGTGTCGGAAGTGGAAGAAATGATCCTGTTTTGAGCCCCACTACTAGGAATGTCTGGGGAAATGTTGGCCTTAGTAATGCCACAAATGCTTCCACCCCTGCTAGTTACTTGGGGTCTGGAAATGGTAGCTTCAGTTCTTTAGGAAATAGTGGGGAAAATTGGATCCCTTCTCTTCCTTCTCGAAGTGGAGGAAATGCTTCTGGCTATACAGGTGGGAGTGCCGATGACAACTATGGTTTGGGAGGGGGAGGATACAGAAGAAACGTCAGCACTGTTTTACCTCCAACATCATCATTTGCTGGACCAACTGGTAATATTGAAGGTTCCTACAGGGATCTTTACCGCAGTGGTCCAGTGTATGGTGACTCAACTTGGAAGTTTGAAGCACCTGACTTGGATGGTTCTAGCTCATTTGGTTATGAGCTCGGCAATACATCTGCAGATGATACTGCAAGAACCTCTGAGGATTATGTTGGAAGTTACAGTGCTGCAAGTAGACAGTCCAGTAGAGGTAATACTCTTTAGTTCATTAAGTGGTCTTTACGAAAAGCTTCTGAATTTAATTAGGTTCTCCCTATTTCTAACTCCAGATGAAAATTTCCTCGTGCTGGAATGTAATTTCAATTGTACACTTGTACTTCATTCATGCTCGAAAACCATGGTTTGGTATCTATGATGTCGGGGACTGTAATAATATAAACTCATTTTCCGGCATCTGATTAGCCTAAACTGTAAAAAATAACAACGATAAGGTCATTAGGACTAGATGGAACTAATTTATTTTATGTTTTGCCTACTTAAAAATTGTTATTGGATTGGCCCTGTATGAACCTGATATTGTCATGAAACAGGAAAGTCAGTTATGTGAATATTCTTAATGTCATAGGAACGAGTCGCTAAAAGACCATTTTTACTATATACTTTGAGATTACTTCAGAAAATTTAATGTTTTCCAATGTGGTGAGGCTTGAGAAGTGAATGCAGGCTTTCTACATTTGTTAATTCATATATTTCATTGTTTCTTCTTCAGGAGTTGCTGCCTAGGAGATCCGTTATTTGGATATCAGATGCTATAATGTTGGCTGAAAGAATGTGCACAAACAAGTGAAGTATTTGTGAATTCGATACAACTGACTCATTACTATGTTGGCATACACACAGATTGATCTTATGGGACTAACGACTGTTAATGATTTGAAAATACTGAATACACATTCAGAGTGAGCGGTTTCAAGCGATTTTTTACAAGGTTTGGGGTTTGAATTTGTTTACTTCTCTTCTTTATTTTAATAGTGAAAAGAATTTGGGTTCCCTTCTTGGTATTTTGAGTGAGGTTTACAATCAGAATGCGGGATGTACACTCCTGAAGATTGGTTCGATTTAATGTACAATGCATCTGCAGCAACGTGTGCCAGGAATGGTACATCGAACAATAGGGTATCGATTATTTTTCCTTTTTTTTTTTAAATTTTCAACTGCTGTAATGCCTGGCTGAGCTGCTGGGTCTTGTCCTTGTGTTTTCTTGGTATTATCTGGGATTGTTTCTCTTTGATTTTAAGGAGTTTCGGTTCGATTTGCTAGTGTGAATCGTTAGAGAAATATTCATATAAAAATGCCAATAAAATAAATTACAAAAATTTCTGATTCGTTTTTTTCATTAGACTATATATGATAACAGTCGGTCAGTCATCGACATGCCGGTTTTTTTCATATTGTCACATTAAGAAGATGACAAGAGGATTTTCATATGGTGATGATAAACCGATACGATATAAAAATCGGGCTGTTTACTTTTTCTGGAATGATACAAATGCTGCATTAATTGCCTTTCTTGTGTTTTTCAGACGTTTCCGTCTGTTCCGTGTAACTACTTTGTGGCCATACCGAGAATTCTTATCTTTACTAACACGACTGTGGTCCTCCCTTTCTAACTTTTTGTGAATTATTTTATGGCATTCTTTGTCCTCTTGATAATGAGATGAACTTGTTGTTAAGCTTTTTGTTATGTGGATTTTAGGATCCTTCCACTATCCAAATCACCTCTCTTAAGTTTCCACAGTCTTTTGTTGGTACACAACTAGTCCCGAGTTTGAATTCCGAATCTGTCAATATTTCGATCTCTGCTTAGGTTTAGCGAGGGAAACAACCAACAATCGAGTCGGAAGTCAAGCCGATTCGATTATGGTTCTCGGGTCATCTTGTTGAATTAATCTGGTCAGGTTTCCAATTCCATTTTGGTCACTTTGGAGGTGAGGTAAGAGAATCTTTGATGATGAGAAACAGCAAATCTTTTACCTGTTTAAATTGTTGGTCCATTTACTTTTTATTCATAGATATCTGTCAAAGAAAAGAAAAAGGGAAAGTTCAGGTGGTGATGAATGAACAAACATGGGGTGATGGAACTTTTAATAATGACTGCCAAAAAGAAACCCTACTGAGATGTAAGTCAACAACCAGACCTGAACTGGGTTTTACTGCAGTAGATAAACTAGTGGTTTTGTGTTTTTTGCAGTGAAAATGGCACAGCCACTCATTGCACCGCAAGTTCACAGGTTCTCCTATTTGCACATCATGAACCATATACTCCATGAAGCAACATTACAAGTTGCCAACAGGAGAACATGATTCACCAAGGGGTATGCTTGGATGTTAACACTCTTTTGACATCAAGGATTAATTAAAAATTAAGTGACTAAATTGTGTGTGTTTTATTTTTTTTGGTAAGGATCATTAAAAATGTCCATTAGAAAAAAAATCAATTAGTGTTGGATACGTAAGATTTACAGGATTTGAGTGAAGGCAAAGAAGATTGCCAGAGCAGTGGTTCAAAGAGGATTGGTGGCACAAAATTTTATAGTTTCAGTCGGTCAGCGGTATTGAAATTTCATGAACTGTCAATATTACTATTTAAGTATATTTAATTATCACAAGAATATGATTACTCAGAATTACACAATACGATTTGCCATTATTCACAAGTAAAATCAGTTATAAAAGGAAATGTTCATGTATATACCAACAGCAGTTACAGTGGAACAAAGCTACTTCAGTTATGGTTTTCCCCTTCATCTAAAAGCATGTTGAATGTCTAAAGGAAAACAACACATTACACCCACCCTAAAATCTCAAGTCACCTATGTGTCTTCCTTTTGAAAGGATGCTTTTAGAAGAAAGCCCTACTTCCGTAGAACACCCGTGACCCGTTGTTCTTCGATGCCTCCATTTTCTGATCGGTTGTAGTACTTGAATTTTCCAAAGAATTTTCCGATTTGGTCGGTCCACTATCGATGTCGAGGGGCAGTTTCATCTTAGCCAACGACTCAGTGAATTGCTGCATGCTTTTCATATACATGTCCACTATATCTTGCTGCACCACCTGCATTTCAGGCTCAATGTTGACTGAAACAATGGGTTTACCCACCGATGAATCCCTGTTGTCGCCATCTCCGACTTTGACTGTTTTCTCTTTCAGGGCTGAAGTGTGTTCCTGAATGGGAGTTTTCGAAGCGCCATCGGAGTACTCGGAGGTTGCTGCAGCGGATGGAGATGAAAGTGAAACCCCATTGGTTGACACACTGCTTGAGGGAGAATCAAGCTTGGGGACTTGGATTGAATCCAACGAAGCAATAGAGAAGCTTTCAAGTACATTAACACCCATTTCGGAATTCTCGATATCAGAGGTGGCCAAACTTTCAGAGTCCAACTTGGAACACGGTATCCCGAAGTACTGAGACACCATCATCTGATTCTCATTCACAATATTCGGATCCAGAAACTCGATCTTTTCGAACTCACTTGTTTCCGAATCCTTCACGGTTTCATCAGCAACAACATCGGGAATAGCCATTACATCAGGAGACGATCCGACATACGCAAGGGACAATTGAACAAAACCTGCAGGTAAATGGAACAGATCAGTTGAAAACAGAGAGAACTCTTTCTCCAATTTCCCATTCTTGAGTATAACTTCCGACAACGGCACCAATGCAAACCCAAGCAACTGGTCTTCGAGATAATTCCTCACTCTACTCATCATGAATATCTCGATCTTCAGAGACGAATCGACATTACGAACGTCGAGCCAAAGGTTGTCCTTGAACACCGGATTCCTCCCTCCACCGTTGATGATCTTGGTGGAAACTGTGCTCTCAGGGTCACTGGTGAGACAAAGCTTAGCATACACATCTTGCTTGTGGTAAATGCAGATGTTATGGATGTCCCTTGCCTGATGGACATATACCTCAAGAACACCAACGATGTCGTCTTTTTTCGACAAAACAGCTTCGGTTTTGTTAACTTCAGATCCATTGAAAAAATTGGATTTCTGCTTCTCACACTCAGGTACAACAGAGCTCTTCAACGGTGACAACTGATTGTGGGGAATCCATGCCAACAACAATAAAATGAACCTGGCAAAACAAGACAAAAGTGCATAATTGAAATCAAAATTCTCAAATCAAAACCCTAATTAGAATCTAAAATCCCAATTTCTTCAAGCAAAACCCTCCTACATACATGAAAATCTAAATTTGATGCCATGTTATTAACTCCAAACCCTTCCCTAAGCTATAAAAGGCATGGTTTTCCAAATTTCAAAGGAATAAAACTTTTAAACAGATCAGTAGTAGAGCAAAAACCGAAGACAGCCAACAATTAAGAAACCAAAATTCTCAAATCATAGCCAAAAACTCAAAGATTTGATTTTTCTTTAAAGTTGACAACTTCAAATCACCCCCCAAGCTATGAAGCAATGACAAAAGCAGAAATAGAAAACCCTAATAGAAAACCTTTGTAGACTTACTTTCAACACAACTTCTCCCACATAAGAAGCCAGAAAACACAACCAAAAGCAAAACACTTTACTCTCAACAGCTTCAAAAGCAAAAATCCAAGAAAGCCCAGAATTTAAAACCAACTACAAAACCCAACACTCAGATTCACCTTGGGACTCTAGCTCTAATATCTACGAATTTAAAGTCAAGTGAAAAAACTGATTTTTTTTTTGCTGGAAATCCAAGATCTTAACACAAGCCCCGTTCCAAACTCGAGTTGCATTTTTGGGTCTTCTTCGAAAAGAACTGAACTTCCCCCCCCCCCCCTCTTTTTGGGAGTTCCTTAAAAGTGAACTGCTTGTACACTGCACTAAGATGGATTGTGCTATATAATACCAAAAAGAAAAAACGAAAAACATGACAGAGAATAAAATCTCTTACAGATTAAAAAAAACAGTGGGTTATACTTAGGGATGATAAACGGACGGGTCGGGTGCGGATACCTTTTCTCTCATCCCTATATCTGTTTAATATTTTTTAATCTACCATCCGTCCACCACTCATAATGGGTACAAATTTTTAAATTCACATCCGCCCATGCGGGTACATTCTCAAATTCATCCCCACACCCACTATCTACTAGCGACGTATAGACCCGCCTGACAACAAACTTAAGTTATACATAAACAAAAAACATAAAAAAAATATGTCCATTAAGAAACATTATAATAATGTATATAAAAAAATCTAGATAATAATATATGTTCATTTAAATATTCTTATACGATTAATGTAAGTGAAAAAAATCTAGATAATATAAACATTATATCAAATTGTTTTAAAATAATATATATATATATATATATATATATATATATTAAGCCCATTATATTTAATAATTATGATGATTTAAATTTTAAATCAACGTTATTCATTTTCATCCTTATATTTAATTTAACCTTTGTTGACTTTGTGGTTAGATTGTCCTCAAATTTCATCCAACTACATTTTCATTTAATTTCAAATTTTCCCATCTATTTTCTAAAGTTTTTCTTCTATTTGCTTATCCTACATCACTCACTTTTAAACAAAATCCTCACAAAGCTTCTAGAACTCTTTATCCTCTAACTAAAACTTTAAAATTTTGAAAACACCACTGAAGTTAAAAAAATACCCATCTTAAATCAGTACTTGATAAATGAAATTAGAAGAAAAAAACGAAATGGAAGTATACGTTGTGTCTCGAGAAACAAGCAAAAAATTGAAACTTTTAAATCATAGGTCTTGAGAGAAAGAGAGAAAATTCATGAGTTTTAACTGTAGAAAAAGAATTTAACAAGCTTTGACAGTCGAGAGCAAAGCTTTACAGTGTGAAGTTTGGAGGTAAAACTGTAGAAAGGAAACGTCTTTTTTCTTTTATTTTTTCTGCTCGAGAAACAAGCAAAATATAGGAATCAAGTTGGGTTTTTGTAGATTTGGGGAACAGAGACTAAAGATTAAAGACTAAAGAAGAAGAAAAAATGTATCTGAAGAGTGGAGACCATGAAATATCGACGCAGTAGCGAGATTAAAGATTAAAGAAGAAATCAGATTAAAGACTAAATGTCGCTAATATTTGGATAAATTACATGTTATATCTTATACAATATTAGAATTTATAAATTAGTCTCTAAAATTACACCTAAATTCATAATGGTCCAAAATTTAATAAATATTTAGTTGGGCGGGCGGAAGCGGGGCGGATAATGTTTCAAATCTATTACCCACCCACCACCCGTGACAGGTACCACTTTCTAAATCCACACCCGCCCACTACCCGCTAAAATTATACCTATCACCGCCCCAATTAAAACGGATACGATACAAAATCGACGAAACTGTAC